AGAATGCTTTTGTTAGGAGAAGTACCCAGTAGATTTTAAAGGAGCTGGCTGGCTCAACCCTTAATTTTCCCAAGGTAGTGAAATGTAACTTCAAACAACATTAACACATTATCCAGAAAAAAGCAATCATTTGTACTTGCAAGCTTAACAGCAAGAGCATGTTACCTTGGTACGACACTTCGTGCACCAAAAGTAAGACTGGTAGAAGGGAGAATTGCTAATTAGACATTAGAATATCAGTGTAGGAAGACTTTGATTTAATGATAAAAAAAGATGCTAATGTGAATGTTTTTTCTTTCTTTTTTTTTTTTTCCCACCAAAGGCTGGGCAGCGCCCCTTCTTTCCACCACAAATGCAACAAGTACGCCCTCGATGGCAGCCAATGCAGCCACAGCAGCAAGTGCGACAGCCTGGGATGCAAGGAATGCCAGGAGCAGGACAGGTTCCACGTGCCAGAGGCATCCGTCAGGTTCCACCCAGGGGAGTGCCTGGCCAGCAGCAGACTCCAGGGGCTGGAGGGCCCAACCAGCGTGTGGGAGGAGGCATGGGCCAAGCACAGCAGGTACGTGGTCCTGGCATGCAGGGTCAGGGCCAGAGACCTACCTACAAGTTCCAGCAGAATGTTCGTAACCAGCCAGCACAGGGACACCCAGCAGGAGTGGCCATGCAACCACATGATCAGGTTCAACAGCCCATCACTATCCCAGTGAGTATCTTGTTTAAATGTTTTTTCCTTATCAAGTCTTCAACTTGGGGTAATAATCTTTTAGAAGAAAACACTGATGTCTCACTGTTGATTTTTCAAAGCTTAAAGGGTAAAATTGTTTTTTTTCTCTTTGTGGAGGAAAGATATTGAAGGCTAAGATGAGGAAAAATTTTGAGAGAAATAGGTCGTTTAATTGCTCCTCTGTACTTAACAATTTTTTTATCCAGCATTAATTATACAATGTTCAAATGCTCTTGGGTTTGGGTTTCTTCTCCTTTTTTTATATACTAAGTTTTATGTACCATCACTTCTCCTAGTTGGATTTAATTTAACTTGTGTTTACTGATTTACAAACTATCGTGTATATGTTATTTATTGATTATTTGGACCCTTCTCTTTTTAGGGACAAAACTCCATTGATCCGAGCCAGCTTGCTGCAGCCTCCGCCCAGGACCAGAAACAGATGTTAGGAGAGCATTTGTTCCCACTGATCCAGCACACCCACCCTGAACAAGCTGGAAAGATCACTGGCATGTTGCTGGAGATTGATAATGCTGAGTTGCTGCATATGTTAGATTCACGGGAAGCACTGTCCGCCAAGATTCAAGAGGCAGTGTCCGTGTTGCGTGCCCATAATGCCAAGGAAAAGTCCACCGAGATGAAGAACTGAAGCTTTGTGTCTGCCCTCAAGGTTCACTTTTAACCGGATAAGACTTAAAAATTTGAAGAAACCATTACCTGATTTTGTTTTCTTTACCATGGATTTGACGAGTTACTTGAATGATCAATAAAGTTGTTTCATCAATTTAAAAAGTATTTCATAAGTTTCCTTTATTCTCCGTGTTTTTGTTATCCTCTCCCGACATTTAGAGTTAAGAATTCTGTTTTCTGCGGATTTAGTCAAACCTTGTAATTTTGTTTCGTTCTCCCCACCTCTACCGGAAAACATTAAGGTTCAAAATAGAAGAGTTTGTCTCAGACGCACGTTGGAACCTCGTCGATTATACAGCTTAGCTCTTGTTCAAAACATCGAGTACGAGTACCCTCCCTAACCCTGCGAGAAAATGTCTAGTCCCGTGAACTGTGGAGGTGAGGTGCTACGAAAAATGTCCTCTACAAAATTACTGCATCTCGAAGTTAGGAACCTTAGACGATCTGAGTGTCCCAGCCTGTATGAAATACAATCTAATTTAATTTTATTTGGATACGGCTATCATTAACCTTGCGTATGAAAATTATCAAAATTGTGAAAGAGCATTCGTTGGTGTGTCTTACAGTAAACGACTAGTCCAAACCAAAAAAGTAAGTGATCACGGGATCCAAGGAAAACTGTGGAAAAAATCAAATCTTAATACCCGCCTCAAGCGCGTGGTTGCGCGCGTGATTGCACGCGTGTACGAGACTGGAATGGGTTTAGGGTTGCGAATGACCGGAAATCTAGGAGCAGAATAGGTTGAACCGAGCTACATGGCCCTTGATCAGCCCAGAAAGCTCGCACGATGCAAAGAAACGAACACAGAAGCGAGATAGGGTTGTTTTAATTCAATACCATTTCGGATTTTTTGGTTTGGAATGCGATCGTTTCTTCCCTTACAAATCCTTCCATTTGGCCCATAAAGCAACGTAAAAATTCTTGCATGATAAGAGAAAAGTTGTTTGCATTTGTGACCGGCTCGAGAAAGCAGCGGCTTCGCGCCGCATAATACAATTTTGGCGGGAAGAGATAACTGGCTGTGATTGGCTTACGGCTGTCAGCGCGTTTTGGCGGTTGACTCAAAAGTTTGATTTAGCGTCAGCCTTACTACATAACAACAACATCGACCAAGGAACATACGTGATCTTTGGGTCTGCAGCAAATCTACTATAACATTTATTAGTCATGGAGGAAACAGATAGAGATCAGAAGAAAAAGAGTATTATCCCTCAGCTACCAAGCTGTTTCATGTCGCCAGAAACGCCGGGCAATCTTCTACGTGATCGCCTGACTCCTTGCTTCGACTCGCCATCGTCAATTTTCCCCACTCCACCTTGTTCGCAAGAAAAGGAATCGATCTCTCATTTTCATTCGTTAGCCCTTGATGAATTTCCTAGGCTTAATTTTGAGCTTGATGAGAGCGATCAGGAGAAATCCATGCAGCAAAGCCTTCATCGGTCACCTTTGATGCCAGAAGACCGTGTTATCGGAAGGCTGATTGGAATAAAAAGCGTGGATTTCATCTCCGATCTTCTAGCAGTAAACGGCAATAAGATTTGCCAGAGAATCTGCAGCTATCTGGAACCTCTTGAGCTATGCAGGCAAGATTTTAACTTCTTTTTTGTTGTTTTTGAAATTGGTCGTTATGTTATCCATAATCGCTGCCAATATGAATCATGCATGAATGAAAATCACTCACTGCGATCCCTTGCGGCAGCCCTAAATTGATTTAATGGATGTCCTGCTTTTTACTGCCGATCAGCCATGCTCTTTACAACTTCAGCGTCGTTTTAAACTAGTATTTTATTGTACCTGACATTTATCAGTTTCCTATTTGTGTCTAGATTCGCCTCCGTGAGTCGAACATGGAGGAATGTTGTGAAAGGAGACACAAAAACGAGTCAGAGGTGGAAAGGATTCCTCAGAGATTGTAAGGACCATTGTGCTCTCAAGGGAAAGGTAATCAGTCAAAAATATATTTTTGTTGCGTAACCTTAAATTTGTAAATCATACTTGCGGCTGCTTAAATACCCCGGTACTCGACTCAGCTAAAGAAGCAGAGAAAACACTTGTATTTCAAGTAAACTAATATAATAATGAATAAAGGGGGTAAGTTTCTAAAGAAACTGTGGTGCTGCGTCGGTGGGAGAGTATTACAGGGGTAATTTTAGTATTATCAACCGAGTTGATAACTGACTGTGAATGTAAGAAAATCGTATTCACGAGCTGATAACGTAAACTGGCCACTGTAAAGAGTTTAAAAGCTTCCAAACTCTTTGCGATAGCCAATTTCCGTTATCAACTCGGTTGATAATACTAAATTACCCTGTTATAATATAAAACAAACTGCTAAGCTTGGTACTTACAAGCAGCCATAGTTACAGCCAAAGAAACTTCAGAGATGGGCTTTTTACTCTTTTATCCTCCATTTCAGTTTCATTCCATTTATCTCAACTAAATCTCATAAATTATCCCTAGCAAGATTTAGAGAGTAAAGATATTACCTTGATGAAAAGTTTGTAAAATATTTTAAAACTTTTAGTTGGGGCTATGGACCTACATCCCAAGAGTTAGATGCTGTAGCTAGTAAAATAATGTGTAAGTTCACTCCAATATTTATCTCTTGCAGGAGAATTATGGTGTGCCTACTTCTCAGAGGTCATCTTCTAATAATCTTAAAGGATTTTCATTAAAAAGTGTCGACATCAATAAACCTGAGAAAAAGATCTCTAAACTACCTGCACTTGACAACCAAACTACAACCCCAATTTGTTCCCATCCAGCATCACAACAGACACTTGAACTGAGACCTTGTCCAAAATGCGTCTCACCTTCATATCTGTCACAAACACAAGGTCACTGTCAGTGTCAGAAATGTGGACTAAGATTCTGTTCAGTTTGTCTAAGAGAATCTCATCATCATCATCAAGGTGAAAGCCCATGTGACGGACTACCTAAAGACAGTGGAATGGCTCTAAGACTCAGATCTAGAAAACTCAACAATGACAGTATTGGAAGTAAGAAAACTAAAGATAGAGTTCGACGGCTTTGACACACATTTTAGCATACATTTTGTAAATTTATGCTGTAGGCTTGTTAGGATAATTTTAAATAGGTAGTTTTATACAAATTTTTATAGAGTTGTGCATATATCTACTTAAGATTTTAGTTAGTAAATTTTTATAATTGACAGTCTTTCATGTCTTTTTGCCAATACAAAAACATGTTGAGTATTGATTTTAGTCAAATTTTGTGTAAACATGTTATAAAACTGACTTTACTCATTTCCTTCTACTAAGAAAATTAATTGAAATAACCATGTTCTATCTTTTTTAATGGGCAAGTAAATGCAATAATACAGTTAGAAATATCTCTTATGGTCTTGAAGTCTCACTTCTTCTTCATGCCTGGCAAGATGGTTCCAACATTCTCCATAATCTTTACTAACTTCAAGGAGTGCCTGGAATATAACCCTAGTTGACTTTATACACAGCTTCTATATCTCCCTCTGTTGACAAGGGGGTACAAAGCAAATTAAGAGGAGAATTTACTGGTCTAACAGAGGTCATTCAAGGCCTTTTTTTAGCACCCCTCCAGTCATTGGGTGATGTTATAATATATAAAGTAGCCTTCCTGATGGGATATTTGGCAATTGACCACACTTTTTATCACTTCTTAAGACATATTGGGAGAATAAGAAGGTACATGCCAAAAGGGGATTGATTTACAAATTTTATCTTAAATCATGCTGACTTTTCCTCAGAGTGTGGAAAAGTTGCCTTTTCCTAATGAAAATAACTAATCCATGGACCTCTAGAAGTCCCTTGCATCCAATTTCTCCTTAAAATATCACCACTGAATCACATATATTTAGGTCATGACAATAGAGGAAATGAACACCTACTAAAGAAGCCCTTGACTGCCAGAAATATTCTCCTTATCAGCACCTTACAAAATGTCTAGAGAACAGTATGGAGAACATGTATAACGATGTTAGGTTATAACAGGTTAACAAATTTTAAGAGAAAGACTCCTGAACACCCTTACCGATGATTGCCTTTGGCTTTTGCCAGAACAACTTCTGTACATATCCTAGATCTAAACCAGGTCCCACGGCATACATAACACCCCTATGATAAATAGAGTTGTTCATTATATAAGTCTACATTTTATTTTTATCATTATTATTATTATTATTATTCATCTTGCACATTCATTCTTTCCATTGAGTTCGTAGCAACAATTCACACTCTTGTTTATGGACCTAGTTCATCCTATGAAAATAATTCTTCCCCTCAATTTGATTCAGGGTTCGCTATCAAACCATATTTTTCTTTCAGTTTTAGAGATTTTGCCAGAAACTCTTTCTCAATGCCTTCCTCTTCTTTATCCATTTCTTTCAAAAACTCATCCCATTGTTTTTTGGACTTTTCTTTGATCTCATCTCGTCTCTTCTTTCTAGGATCCTGTTCTTCCCTCTCCAAAATATTATGACATCGCTGCCTTGCATCTTTTAGTTGATCTTGCACATCATTCAGCAGTTCTGCTAGTTGAACGCACTCGGGGATTTTAGACTGAATTTCATTTGCTTTTTGAGACGCTTCTGTCAGTCTTAACAGCTCTCTGTCATTTCTTTTACCTTCAAATTCACGAATCACGTATTTACATTCATTCTGCATGACGGCCCTGTGGTCAAAAAGTCGAGAATAGATACCACAAACATCACGAATTGCCTTTTCGCCCGCCATATTGGATTTGTTTAGCTGCCTATTTTTAAGGGGGGTATACTGACCTATCCCCTGAAAAGATCTTGCACCAGGAAATTCAATTAAGTAAAGAGAAGAGAAATCGAGAAATTGTAAAATAAAACGAAATATAACAGAACGAAACCAAAGCTTTTGTTGCAATATCGATTTATTTTTTTCAAAGCTGACGGGGTTATATATTAATTATTTTTTTTTTGACGTTACCTCTTCCCACCCTAGTCAAGTACGAAAATTGCTCCATTTCTTTGATGCCAAATTAGGCCGTCACCATATTTGGGGAGTAGATTTTTTTGGCGCGAAATCTGATCACGTGGTCAAACAGTTGCTTGCAAGTCGAAGCTTTGATCAAGTAACTTCTGGCGATAAAGAGCACAAAATTTGGACAGATCGTGGCATTACATTATGGCTTTGGACAATGAACAGTATCTACGGCAACTCCAACGAGAGTATCTTGACTTCTTGGATGACGATGTGAGTAGAGGGTTGCTTATTTTTGGATCAAATCCTGCGTGTAGTCTAGCTGTGCGAAAGAGCTTGTCTCGCACATGGTGAACACACCATTTCTGATTGATTTCCGTTAGTATGTCCGCAAATTTCAGTCGGTACACAATTTTTTTTACTTTTAGTGATGAATTTATGACTGTTAGCTTGCTATTTTTTTTCAGTAAAATGTTAGAGACATCCATGCCGATGAAAGGTTTATACAACATCACATGTTCAGTTCCCGGGAAATTTTAATTCCTGTACACGACCTTATTTGCATGATTTTCACCATCAACAATTTCTGTCGATCTCCATCGTGGAACCTATCGTGGCATCTTTTAGTGAAATGATCGCTTATACCTTAACTACATTTATGGGTCATGTATACAGGGCATCTTTTCCTGATGCCGAATTTAAGTGGTTTCAATGGCTTTTAAGCCTTAATATGTATTGTTGTTCTCGCAGGAGGATCAAGGAATTTATCATGGCAAAGTTCGTGACATGATAAGCAGAAATGAATGCAGATTGATTGTTAACATTAATGATCTGAGGAGAAAAAACGAGAAAAGAGCTGTTGAGTGAGTTTAGACCATCAAAGTATTTTTAGTTATAAAATCCTACCATCATTTTGAAAGAATTCCCCAATAAAAAAGTTACAAGAGGTGCCGCGAGTTGAGATCAAGACCCTTGTGAGACTACATCTATATATTTTTTTGTTTTGCATGGCTTATGTTTGACTTCCTCAACACTTTGACTCCTAAGAGTGACCAAGACAATTTCTCCTCACAATATCAATACAATATGGAGCAGACAAGTGTTAAGAATACAGGAAAATATCACTTTTAGGGGATTATTAATTGATCCAATACCAAATTCACCAAATTCACATAATAAGAATTGTATGGCAGAAATTAGAGGAAATTACCAATGAGATCTTGAGAGTAAAGGGGTTAGTTTAGAAATCTCCTGGCTCAAACTATTCTCTCATGATTACCCCCTGAGTACACTTAATAATTACTGAATTGATATTCTTTCAATTTTTTTTCAGAATTCTCAACAATTCCTTTGAGGAGTTAATCGCATTTCAGGTATTTCTTTAAATTCTTAATTTTTATTTTCAATCTTATTCATTGATCAAAATATCAAAATACATTTAAAACTGGTGTTTTATTATTTAAGAGTTACATTTGCCCTCTTTAGAATGCCCTAAAGGAGTTTGTGAGCTCTGCAGATACAGCTTACGGCAGAAAAAATGAAGAGTTCTTTATTGGATTTGACGGAAGGTACTTTTATTGATTGTTTTGGAATAGAGGCTATATTCACCTTAAATTATGCAAAGTGGAGCAGTAGCGCATATTAGTTTAGTTGAAAATATTTTTTTTCTTTTTTGTAGCTTTGGTGCAAAGCATGTCACTCCTAGGTCACTTTCTGCTCGTTTTATTGGGAACATGGTCTGTGTGGAGGGAATTGTCACTAAGTGTAAGTTAAATGTTGATTGTTACAGTCGTTTTTAACCCTTTCACTCCCAAGATCTCATTATTAATTATTAATTAATCATTATTAACAGACCAGCATCTTATTTCAGCTTACAATATCACCCTTGAATTCATGAGTATAAAGGAAATGGTCAACAACTAAAGAGGCTGTGGATTGTTGAACAAATTCTCCTTGTCAGCACCTTAGGAAATGTATATAGAATAGTATGGAGAATATGCATACTGATGTTAGGCTGTAAAGGGTTTATGTGTTTATTTTGAGCTGATTTGAGCCGGGCTTTGTCCACTGTCAAACATTCCAGAAGACAGCCACAGGTGTTGTAGTTCTAATTTGTTTTTTTTATCTTATTTTCCAGGTTCACTTGTGAGGCCTAAAGTTGTACGTAGTGTTCATTACTGTCCTCAGACCAAGAAGACTTTGGTTCGTAGGTACACAGACCTGACTTCTCTGGATGCCTTCCCAACAAGTTCCGTCTATCCAACAAAGGTAACCTATGTCATTCATTTGCTGTTTAACCCTTTGATCCTAATTGATTAGTTATTAGCATCTACCATCAATCCTTTGTATCATGGTAATTTCATTTTGATAGAAATTTATCTTGTTTCTCTAGGATGAAGATGGTAATCCACTGGAGACTGAGTATGGTTTATCAACTTACAAAGATCATCAGACATTTACAATTCAGGTACAACTATAGAGATGCTCTTGTGATAATCATTTATCGCACATATGGCTCAAACTCACTTGTAACTATCCCCTCACTTCAGCTTCTTTTTCTTCTTGTTTGAGATAAAGTACTCTTGTCTAACTTTTTGTGCCTGACTGCATTGTTAAAACTTATTGTAATGGCAATATTATTATTCCACATATTTTTGTACACATTTTCAATCATTTTAGCTCTGAGAATTCTGTATTTATAGTCAAACAGTATGCTCAAATCAACACTTTTCTCTCTTCTCATAACCATTTTGATTTAAAATGTAGTTAATGTTGTAGAGAGAAATTTCTCTTTGGTCATTCCTCAGAGTTCAAAGGTTGAACTGAAATGGAGGTACATAACTAGTCTAGTCACAATTTGCTACCAACTCTGCTCAAACCATAGCTTTGATTCATGCCTATAGAGGCACCTGTAGAATTTTATTTATGTATGTATGTAATTATTTCACTCAGGAAATGCCTGAAAAAGCTCCAGCAGGGCAGCTTCCTCGCTCAGTGGACATCATTTCTGATAACGACCTGGTAGATAAGTGCAAGGTACATATTGTCATGGCCGTACAATTTCATCAAAATTTTTGAGAATAGTTTGAAGAAGTTTTAACTTTCAATGCCTGAGCTTGGTTTTATTCCCCTGTAGCCTGGTGACAGAGTACAAGTTGTTGGAATGTATCGTTGCCTTCCATCAAAGAGAGCTGGATTCACCCCAGGAACATTTAGGTAGTATAATGCCTCAACAAAAGAGCTTTCCTTAAACACTTTTATTATTATCTCATTAGTAATTCTCCTTACTGTTCACCATATAATTATTATGTTAGTTCGGAGAATTTGGTATTGGATCAACCAATTATCCCCTGACAGATAAATTATTTTCTCTTTATTCCTATCCTCTGTCTACTTGATATTGTATCAGTGTTGTAAGGAGAAATTCTGTCTTGGTCACTCTTGATCCACTCTTGAGTAAAATAAAGAATAGCTGCATTTGATTTTTGTAGAATTTTTAATGATTTCTGTGTATTTTCTACACAGAACTGTTCTCATTGCCAACCACATCCATGTATTGAGTAAGGAAATTGCTCCAAATTTTTCTGCTGCTGATGTGTCCAACATTAAGAAGTTCAGTCGTCGCAAGAAGGTTTGAAAACACTAATAAATAAAAAAGTTTGCCCATCACATTTTTTATTTTAAGTTGGAAATACATTAAAAAATTATCATATTTAACTCTATGTTTTTTTACAGGATGTATTTGAAATGCTTGCCCAGTCCTTAGCTCCATCTATTCATGGACATGAGTACATTAAGAGAGCGGTGTTATGTCTGCTGTTGGGAGGAACAGAGAAAGTCTTGGAAAATGGCACAAGACTGAGAGGGTACATGTGGCCTATACCTACTTGCTTTTCAGTAGATTTTTGAAATTGATTGAGATTAATGGTTGAAAATAAGGGTTTTTTTCCTTTTTTGGTATTTTGAATGTGAGAGTGAAGATCTAATTTCTGTTTGCTTTGTTAATGTTCTCCTGACTATTATTAACTTTAACCCTTTAACTCCCAGATCAAATTTGTAATTCTCCTTACTGTCAACCATACAATTCTTATAACATTAGTTCAGAGTATTGCATCAATTAATTATCACCAAATTTATATTTTTCTTTATTCTCACCACTTATCTGGTTGATATTGTATTGATATTGTAAGGAGAAATTCTGTCTTGGTCACTCATGGGAGTGAAAGGGTTAGATATATTTTGTGGTGTGAATGAAAGTGATCCTCGCAGTAATGTGCACTACTTGAGCAGTAGTGAAAAAAAGGCCTGAAAAAAATTCAGGCCTGTACGAGATTTGAACCCATGACCTCTGTGATACTGGTATCACAGAGGTCATGGGTTCAAATCCTGTACAGGCCTGAATTTTTTTTTTTTTCAGGCCTTATTTTCACTACTGCTCAAGTAGTGCACATTACTGCGAGGATCACTTTCATTCACGTCTTTATCCGCAGTTCAGATATATGACTTGCATATATTCTTAGCTGTTTATATTTTGTGGTTACAATTTCTAATCAAAATATTTTTCTCCCTTATTTTTGTAGGGACATTAATGTTCTGCTGATTGGTGATCCATCTACTGCTAAGTCACAGATGTTAAGGTGAGAGAAAAACTCATTATTTTTACTTGACTTTTTTTCCCAGTTTGTTTATTTAACATTTAAAATGTAATATTGTTGGTGTTTCATCTGAGAAATGTCTGTGAGTGTAGGAGAAGCTTCTCAATCAGTTTACTTTACAAATGACTTGAATCAAAT